ACGCATGTCGAGAGCACAGGACACTGCCTTGGTCTACTTCTATGGCCTTTCCAAGGTGGGTGTCTCACTCCGACCCATCGGCTCACTCAAAGGGACTCCAACTTACGGACTGGCAAAGTGGCTGTTTCGGCGTCTCAAATTTCTGACAACAAATTCAGACTCTACTGTCAGTTCGTCAACAAAATTCTTGGAGAAACTTAGATGGGCAAGCCTCCTGCCAAACGACGTCATAATATCCTTCTATGTCATGTCCCATTTTACTTCTTTTCCGCAGCGCCCGGCGATCGAGATCATCTAAGGATTCCCTTGAGACAAATACGATGAAACTGAGAATCTCCTTGGACACACCTAAATCCTCCAACTTCCGCAGTTCTGTCTCAGGACGTACTTCAAGTTCGACGGAACAATCGAAGAGCAGGTGTATGGCACGCCCATGGGGTCGCTGATATCGGGATTCATAGCCGAGGTGGTCCTACAACGGTCTGAATCGCTGGTTTTCCGACACCATAGACCGAAATTCTGGGCTCGGTATGTGGGTGATACCTTCGTCGCCATCGAACGGGATTGTTTGCAGGAATTCAAAGAACATCTCGACGCCTTTTTCCCCGACATTCAATTTACGATGAAGGAAAAGGAAAACAACCAGCCGCAGAGATTGGGGTGGTCTAAAAACCAAAGTATTCAGGAAGGCGACAAACACGATGCAAGTACTGAGCTACAACAGCAACCACCCAATCAGTCACAAACGCCGTTGCGTAAAGACACTATACCAGCGTGTGGAGACACTGTGGTGAACCGGAAGACAAGGTTACTGAATTGCAATACCTTCGACTGGCACTCAAACCCAATAGATATCCGCACAATTTCGTCAACCAGTGCCTGCGCAAACGAGACGAGAGACGAAATTCAACCGGCCCCAAGTTTTGGCGAGCTCTCCCGTACGTGAAGAATGTTTTAGAAGCCATAATCCGTCTTCTCACACCCTTTAGAATTGGAGTCGCACAGAGACCGGAGGTAACCATAAGGCGTCAGATCAGGAGGTCGAAAAAGCCCTTGCCATTGCAGGAAACATCCGGAGGCTTTTACTGTGTCTGGTGCAGTTATGGCAAAGCAACTATGTCGGAAAAACCGGAAGACTACTGCGGACGCGGATGGGCTGGCACGCAGCAGTGGTGAGGAGGAGAGACGCCAGCTCCCAAGTCGCGGCTCACTCGACGGAACCCAACTACATACTCAAGTTTGACAATGCAGCATTTCATTCGAAAGGTGATAACCGCATGTGCCGCAAACTGCTCAGGTCATGGTTTTCCGGTGGTCGATCAATGAACAAGCGCAACGAGCTCTCCGCTCCATATTCGGCTCTCAGACTGTGTTTAGGGAAAGAATTTAGCCACGAGGACAGTGTGTAAATGGTCACTGTTCCTGGCGTCAATATCGATAAGCCAAACTGCCCAAGAGTCCGCACGGATGACGAAATCCGGCCATCAGCAAATCGACAACCACAACCGGTCCACAAAGGCATAGTAATTGCCCGGCAACTGCATGCTTCAACATCTGACCAGTTGAACCTTAAAGCACTCGGGAGCTGCCAACTGCGATAGGCATGTAGCGGCCTAGCAACTACATCCTAATAATACTGCAACGCCTGGACAATTTACCACCCTTATCTGACTCTGTCTCTGAAGCTGAATTCGAGTAAAAGTCCGAAACGTCAGGCTAATAAAGCTCTTGTTCAAGCGATCTTGTCTCCTTTGCAAGTCCAATTTTCCCTTATTTCTCACTTCTCCATATAGACCGGGCCCGTTTGAAAAGATCATCGGGATCCACTATTGTCATTGTTTCCGCACACCTGTACTACATGTGTCGATTAGGCAGCAGCCGCAGCAAATACCTAAACTCGCAGCAACTCTTGAAAACGTCCACCATCGTACGACCGGCCAAACAATACATAAAATTTCAGTGAAAGTTACGCATCACTCTCGTATTTAGCATTCCTCCTCTCAGTCATCACCCCAGACACCTCTTATAATCGACGGAGACACAACCGGAAGTACGCTGCCAAGTTCATATCCTTGTGACGTAGTAAACAACCGAAATATTAAGTGTTGCCTTGCTAAATTTTCGAGGAAACTGATGCGCGAACTTGGTGTAAACCCTCCAACACAAAGCATTTAGGTTCACTTCGAATGTTTATAGATGAATATACGAGCGTAAATCCATCCGATACTGCCAAATAAACGCGCAATATTCACAAGCCACCAAGAGGTAGTCATCAGTATACAAACAGCAAGCAGCTTACCATAATGTCTGCTTTCAGCTTGTACCTGTGCTGTCAGCATGACACACCATTTAGGATTTGAATATTAATTGTGGCTAGTTTGGACAGCTGGCCGGTACATAGGAGAGGGAAGAAACAGCAAGGTCGGTTATGGAAAATTATCCATATTTCGTACTGCAACAACTCTGACGCGCATCAGAATATCACGGGCTAACCCGCTCCAAACGGTAGCATGTATGTATATATTTTAAGAGCTACAGACAAAGCCATTTGTGACCATGTGTAGGTATAGTAACCTCATTTATTTACACTTAGAATAAAATTACAAACGTTTGGAATGTGGTCCCTTCGCAGTGCAGAATAATCTAAAAATATAAATGCTGCTGTTCACTGTGACTCTGTACGGAAAAAATATGGATCAATATAGGTTTTACAAAGTTGGTTCTGAGCATTCATGTTGTCAAAAATTTTCCTTGACGAAAAAATGCTCAATAAACTTTTTTAAACATAAAATGGTGCCGGCCATCATCATCTCACTTGGTAGCGAATTCCATGCTCGGACTACCACTCAGGCTAAAGTAAAACCTTCTACGGTCTAGTCGCGTACGTTCACTTTTGTCTTTGCAGGGAAGGCCGCATAGTTACTTGCACAGGCAAACTCGAAGAAATCCTCCGCTTTCAACAAGAAACTATGGCTACGTGTAATTCTGGATGTCCAGAGTAGGCTACGGCCTAGAGGGAATATGTCAGGTTGCTTTGGCTCATCCCGGCACGACAGATGCGTAGACCATCCTCATTGTTCTACATTTCACTTGCTCGAGGAGGTTAATACCCCTCCTCCTCCATGGTGTAACTTCCGACATTGCACATTCCAAATGAGGTTTCACGAGGATGCCGAAGTCTTTCCGAAAAGTCTAGAAAAGAATGCTTTAAGCGCATGTGTGATTCAGTGAAAGTGCTGACTGCCTTCTGTGCCATCTTCTTATAGTGTTTCCATGACATTAAATTTGAGGTGGTCCACAAACCCAGATCTCTGCGCCTTTCTACACCTTCTGCAGAGGTCCCGTTAGCATAATACCGATGTTTTGAAAGGAGGTTTCGGCCGACGTTCAAGTGTAGGATCGCGCACTTTGGTACATTGAGTTTTAAAAGCTATTTGTTTGACCAAACACTCACTATTTCGATTTAAGATTGCAACTTCTTTGAGTCATCAATAAAATTGTATTCCCTTCATATGCTTAAGCCATCTGAGACTCATCTGAGCCTCACGGTATAGTTCGCTGGCGCGATCATTGACATAAATTAGGAAAATAAATGGACCTAAAGCAGAACTCTGCAGAACACCACCTTCCGCTTTAGCCCATTCCGAGGTAGAACTGCCAACACCAACTCTATACTCTGGGGGACAGAAAACTCCCACTTTATTTAAACATTCTTTCTCAAATACCTGTATCAAAAATCTTCAGTAAAAGAAGTCTGTATAGTACGGTTTCAAAGACCTTATTAGAATCAAAAAAAGAACAGGACACCTACCGAATAGCTCCTATCTGCGGCCTTTGTCCATTTCTCACGCGAGTGAAGAATACTCGTGATGTAAGAGAGTCCTTAGCGAATGCCTCGATGAACTTCATACAATATTCTTCTTTCTTCCAGATATGCCGTTAAATGTTTTTAGACAATTTGCGCTACTATTTTGGACGCAAAGCAAGGTAGACTTGCAGGGCGATAATTTTTGCTGTTTAAGTCACTTTAAGTCAGTTTATTAAGAGAATGAATCTTTCGCCCTTAAGCTCCCTATTCATATCGATAAACAGAAATAGAATCATTAATTACATCAAAAAATGTGGAAATTCAGAAGTTGACGGTAAGTGTGAACCAGGTGCAAACTGCCGCCGCTAAAACAATCGTGATTATATTAGAGTAGTTTCTCAGGAAATGAACGTACAGTCTACAATTAATGGATTCATCGGTTTCGGAAAGAACCACCGCATCAGGGAGCGCGTTCCACGCGCCCCAATGACACTGTGAGAGAAGGCGTTCCGTCGGACGCCCGTGTGGGCCAGCTTCCACTGGGGATGACCACGCAGACGGTCAGTCCCGACCAATTCGAAGAATTCATCAAAGTCTAGGGCGCGCTCACGACCTCTGGCAGTCCTGAAGGTTTGAATGAGATTGCCGCGCGGCTGCCTGTAAATGGGAGGAAACAGATTTAGTTCGGCCAGCCTGGTTGCGTAAGGCACATGCTCAAGATTCTTGACCATCTTCGTAGCCATCGCCTGTACTGTTTCCAGTTGTTGATAATCTTTCTTCAACCACTGTCGCCAGGCGTAGACTGCAAAATCTAAACGAGACCGGACGAATGCCCCATAAGTTTTTCCGAGCAGCTCTTTATCGATCTGCACCAATCCTCGCCTCAGCACAAATAAAACCCTTATCGCAACGGCCCTAAGACTGAGCCCTGGGAGACACCACTTAGAACGGCGGTAGGAGTTTACCTCGGGGTCTCAACGCCCACGGTTTGTGGTCTCTCTGTAAGAAAATCTGTGATCCATGTCAGCATCTCTCCTCTTATCCCAATTTCAGAGAGTTTGTAGAAGAGGCATATGCGTGGGACGCTGTAGAACGCTTTCTTAAAGTCCGTGTAAATGACATCGACCCTACCATCCTCGTCCAGTGCTTGAGTCCACTGCTCCGTCAAAATCAATAAACTGGAAGGGCACGAATGGTTCTGTCTGAAGCCGTGCCACAGATCCGAGGGTAAGTGGTTCTGCTCCAGGAACTTCATTGTTGCTTTCTTAACTATGGCTTCCAGTATTTTACAGCAGATGCAGGTAAGACTAACCGGCCGGTAATTTTTAGCATTAGTGAGGGTCAGACCCGTGTATATTTGAAAGATATTTGCTGTCTTGCACTCCGATGGCAGCCTCCCTGATTTGAATGACGAGCGGAAGACGTGTGCCAGCGGTTTGGAGGGTTCGTTTGCAATTCCTACAAGAATTTGGCCGGTATATTTTCGGAATCCGAGGACTTTGCCTCTTTGAGATTTGGTAGCTCCCTTTCCACGGCAGATGCCGGGAAGAGTATGGAGTCACGCTCAGTAGCACCGGTCTCAAAGCATTGCTGGTACTGCATGAACTTCTTTTTTTTGATCGAGGTGATGAAAGGCGTGTGCACTTACATTCTTCAGGGGTTTTTCCTTCCTCAAAAGACTTCTTAGACATGGAAGAAAATAATTCACACTGTGTATTAGCAAGTTTTTGAAACGTTTATGCAAAAATTCAACCGGATTAAGTGGTTTCGTAAGCTTCAGTTGGAGTACTTCAACCCTAGCTAAGGCTAACGAAGAGTACAGTGCCCTTACTGAAGAGGAAGTAGTGGTGGTGGTGGTGGTGGTGGTGGAGGAGGAGGAGGAGGAGGAGGAGGAGGAGGAGGAGGAGACATTGTTTAACGGACGGGTGAAAAAGAAGAAGGATGAGGCCCCCTGGTTCAGACGGATTTGAAAAAAAATCAGAAGTGACAAGAGAACTCAGAGTCAGGTCGCAATGGTTCCTTCTTATTATAGTCCTTACGGCAGTCTCGACATTTAAGATCCGAGCCGAACTTAAAGTGTACTGTCACATAAACTGAAAGCCCAGTCTCGTTAAAGGCTCGTGAACAGGCTAATTAAGTATGCCATTCATTGGGCCCGCGCCCGATTATGATTGTATTAAAATTGCCTGGCGGCCGGAATAAGATAAGCGGGCGAGAAGAAAGTGCGATAAATGCTACGCAAGTCCGTTTCAATACAGACCAGAGTCGAACTATTATTTGCATATTTGGTGGTGAAGCCTGTTAGAATAAAGAAGTTTTAATGTTGCCGGGAAGTTGCACCGGCTGTAGGTTGGGGGGATCAGACAGGGCACTAGCCAGTTTTTTTGCAAATACAATGAAGGAAAATCCTTCAGATGCTCGTGATGCGGTTGGGAATGGTCCCTATCCAACTGAAGGGTGTAGTATGTACTGTAAATGGCGGATCCTTACCGACGAACTTATTTATTTGTAGTCTGTCCTGCTCTACTCAAGCAGCAGTGAACAAAATCGTAACTTCGGGTTATGAGCCGTGCTTGTCAGTGCTTAACGAGTATCATGTCCGCGAGCCTGTTTGGTCATTATCCGGCGTTTTTGCCACTTCTGTCTTATTTTATCATCTTACCAGTCGTATGCAGACCAAAGTTAAGAAAAAGGGCTCTGTATATTCGAAGGCACTCCAGAGATTTCTTTCTATTGTTCGTTTTTACTTCAACAGAAACTATGACTCAGCTTCATACCTCAGATATATACTCATGTCATCAATAACAGCCCCAGGTCAGTTAGTCAAAGTATCCAGCAATCTGAAAATTTTCATGCTTTGGTATTTGGTGGGAGCCTGGCGGCTTGAGAGAACCACATGCTTGTTTAAGTGGTTGTTGGCGCGCTATTCAGGAAGGTCTACCGAAGATGTCTTACCAACCCGGCGATAAAGTTTTTGCTAAAATGAAGGGGTTTTCCAACTGGCCAGCAAGAGTAAGAACCTCTGAAGTATGCGCTCATAATTTTAGGTTAATCCTCTACCCCCTCACGTTCACGTGCCAAAGGGAAAACTTCCTATCTTCTTTTATGGAACACATCAAGTGTAAGCCAATTTGCGAACTTATTTCTCAGCTCTTTCATTCATAATAAGGCGGTGTTCCCTTTCGAAAAGTATAGAGAAAAATGGGGAAAACCGAAGGCGAATAATCACTTCATGTCTGCTATGGAGGAAATAGTCTCAAACCCCGATGTCTTACTACTTGGAAAGGTAACACATCCTTTTTTTCCTACAAGTTCTGCAGGACCCTGACGCGATGGACTTCCTTCTTTCCGTGTACCCCAATGCCGATGCAGGTAGTTCTTCTGGCCTTAAGTTTCCTCGCATATGATTATCTCTCTCGGGCTTGTACATTGTAGCTAATTCATAAAGCCCATCGTTGCAGTAATGAGCCACTTCAAAGCCACATCGACTTTCTAACTGCCTCGGAAATTATAATCCACTCTGGCCAGATTTATATTCCTTAAGATTGAGACGGGTCCGCCTGGTGATGAGCGATCGCGTTTGCCGTTAGAAAACTCAGGTCGAATTCGACCCCGGGGACCGACTTTCCCTCTTCGGAAATTGTGTTCGTATCATGAAAAGTATGATCCAAAATTCTGTTTGTCGAATTTTTGTGGGGTGGCTATGCCGGCGCATCCTAACCTTGAGCATACGGCACTAAATCTGAGATTTCAGTGTCAAATGGTCTTCGCTTCTTAGTTGCTGTTTTTTTATGTACATTAGTTGAATTTCCATTTATTATTCCTTTGTCGTGCCTAGGAATATTTCTACTATCTCATTCTTATTGAAAAATTTTAAGCCTCAGTTACGTAGCCTCGAAGTTAACCACATGTTCGGCCCGTAACTTGGCCCCGAATTTATACTCGAATTTGTGTACTGGCATTAGTACCCCATCCGCGATGCGTCCTTGTTTATAGCGTACGTTTTCTCCTTTCAGAATCGAAGCAAAGCCGACTTATCCCTCCGCCTAGCCCGTCTAGTGGCGTTAGTCCACGATCTGTTGGAAATAACTCGCTGGGAGACGATGACACAAAGTCTGAGAAAGTGTCTTCCCCTCACGTAACGGGATGCACCGACAATGAAACTGATTTGTCTCAAAGTGGCGCATCGGATGATGACGATTCCTATGTACCAAAAACGAAAAGCCAGAAAAAGCGAACTGACGCATCTTCACGGCCCTCAGTGAAGCGGTCTGCTCCCCGTCGAAAACCAGCAAAAGAAGTCTCATGTATGCTCTTATTCGTCGTGCATTGCTTTCCAGCCATGTGCGGTAGTTTGTCCTGCATCTTTCTGTCGGCATAGCTTGGCTCGGTATTCATCCGCATTACTGCCACATGAATTCAATGAAAATATTGCTGTCCAAGTTGTCCCCCTAATGAACATTTACCAATCTTAACAGGCCTTCCGATCACGGAGGTATTTTATGTTATCCCGACAACTTAAGGCGACTTTGCGCAAACGTTTTACACCAAGACGTCAGTAAGTGCCGCTTTGGTGTTAGGAATCATGTACCAATGCGCGACCAGTTGCCTCGTTTTATGATCAGAGTCGCCAGAATGGCGCCAATACCCTATTTGTCCTCGTGGCACGAATGGGCGAGCATATAGTGATTGCCGGTCCATAACCTGGCTATTCGAGGCTCGTAGCTGCTTCCGACCGTCTAGTTGCCTCAAAATGCGCTTTTGTGAATTCTCTTTCCACCGAAGTAAATTAGGCGGTTAAGATGGTGTTGTTTGATGTTGACTAAGTCCAGGACGTTTGAGCCGACATTTGTATCTTGTTTTCAATTCGACTAGACCCACTGGCGGTGCGAAAATGCTTTCGACTTCCGACTAATCGCCCATCTCGAGTAGTCTGCACGAGTTTGTTTGCAGTAGCATTTATCCTTGAATTAGCATCGGAAGAGTATACGGGCCATTCCTTGGATCGGCTGCTGCAGACTCATCGCTCACCAAGAGTGCCGGCTCCCGAACAGTTTTCCAGACAAAATTTGGGATTGTCATATTTAGGTTTGCACCAAAATTATTGATTCATCCACTAGAGTGCCGCATGTAGGATTATTCTCATAATTTTGCCAACCGCAGGAGTGACCGTAATAATCATTAGAATATACTGGATTTTACAAATGGTGGTAGGCTTTTATGTAGTGCTGCTTCTACCGCAATCCTTCGTTCACACTATAAAAAATGCCTGTACCCTTTGTTGTATGGCCTTGGCAGCCACAATTTATGTTATTTAACTATTGAGTCGTCATCATTTCCAGTAACCATCCTTACGTTTGCTTCTGAAGCCGCCAGGAGCGTACAGAAAGCCGGTGCTAAACGACCGGCCCACCAGGCCTCCCACTCCTCTGTTTCTTCTGGGACTAAAAAACGACGACAGGCTTCAAGCAGTACCGTGGACGATGCCAACGAGCGGGCCTCCCTAAGTAGCATTTCCTCCATCAGGTAATTCTTTATCTTCTCCATGAGATGCTGTGTCAGTCATTTTGGTTACCTTTTTGCTCTTCGTGCCTGGGAGCCAAGTTGGCAAAAGCCCCGAAATTTATAATTTTCTATTCTAAACGAACCCCAGAGATTTCCACTAGACCTGTTCAGGGTTTAGTACTATTATCTTAGGGTTGCTTCCAAGGTTATTCTAGAGCCATTTTGGCCATTCTTATGAAATCGCTTCATCTTATCCCCCCAGGATTTTTTGCCGGCTGCTAACGCTTTCCATCTACCGCCGTTCTAATTTTGCTTGCCTTAACATCAGTCTGTGGGTCAGTGGTGCGATGTTAGTCTTCGTGAACTTCATCCGCGAACCATTTTCCATGCTTTTTCTAGCGGCCCCCACAGACATTTTAAGTAGGCCTCTTTATTTGTCACACGTCCTTTTTTGTCGTTTTTTTATGTAGAATTGTTTGAGCTTCTAGTCCTTTCGTTTGAAATTCCCTACTACGAGAGTTGTTTTTTGTGTCCATCTTGGCCTAGCGTCGGGCTATTATGGTGATCCGCGCTGGGCAGTAAACCGTCCCATAACCTCGCACCTTTATCGACTGCTCTCTTAAGGGGCGACGTCGTTCGAGATTTTTTCATGTTTTTGTTTTTTTTTCATGTGAGGTTGAGCTTTTTCAACTATTCTGTCGTCATTTGTTTATGTCATGGCTTTCACGCCATCGACGATTTTATACCGTATGCTCTCATCTAAGCATTAAAAACCGTAAATAACAAAATTTACACCTTAATCCACCGCTATCGTAAGCATGTATCCACGCCCGTGCCCTCGAGTTTTCGCATTTTTATGCTATCCTACTGAGGTCCGGTTTAGGGGCAGTTTTGTGTTCTTACCCGTTCCACTGTCAACCATGAACTCTGTAAATGCGAAGACAAATTTGCCCTACACGACCACCGCAAGCCCAGATGCCACAGGCACCTAACGGGGACAATTCTAATTGCTTTCGCTGCCAGTGAACGCATCCACCAGTCGATCTGTTTTGTCCTCTCGCTGCAGTATTTTCTGGTCATCGGTTCGCTTGCATGCACAAATTACTGAAACGCACAGCACGAGAGAGAAAAGCCTGAAAGCCTCACTAACTCTTGTTTTCTTAATGTATCTGGGCTGACGCGAACATTTAAATAGCCGTAAGATTCCTTACTTGCCGTTCTTGCAAGTTGCAAATGCTGCATAATATGTCCCTGGGGTTTTTATCCACCCATTTCAAAAATAGTGCCATGATGGCACGCAGCTGTAAAGTTTTAAAAGTAACATCACATCTAAGCATAGTTTTACTTCCACACTGCGTCAAAAATTTCAGTCTTACCCACATTCCTATGACACCACTTTGTCCTGGCTCGGATCATTGTTTTTTGCCATTTATCATACCTTACGCACGCGGTTATTTCCTTCCCTCACTAGCGACGACGAAGAGGATCCCCTGGCTTCATGGCAGAAAGCTGACGCCGCCAGGAAAAGTGAAATCGAGGTCAAACTCCAGGAACTTGAGAAGAGGTATTGTGGAGAGCCCAGTGACTTCGTCAACTGTTGTCTCCTCTTATCTTGCGTAATCAATCCCTAGCTCTCTTATCTGTCCTTTTGTTCTCAGGAGACAGCAAGAGGAGGAAAAAGCCATCAGGCAGGCGAAGAAGCACATTTCCAAGTCGAAGCAGCGTAACTTACACAAACATTCTGACGGGCAGAGTACCCCTCCACGCCCAACCTCTTCACTTTCTACGGACTTGGTCAAGAGTGAGCCCGAAACGGAGGGCATCGGCGTGCCCACTGTTGCCTCACCCCATGCCTCATCTGTCACCTCAGACAGCGAATCAGCGGTCCAAAAGTCACGGGAATCCAAGGAGGCACGTCGTATGGCCAAACGCCTAATGAAGAAGGAGGCCAAGCGAGAAGCCAAAAAAGCGGACAAGCGGAATGCCAAACGCCTAGAAAAAGCCTTGAGAAAGCAACAGCAGATACAACAGCTGGCGCAACTGGAGGAGCAGGGAGGTATTGTTAAGGATGAGGATGCAGGAGTAGAGACGTTTCTAGAGGATGCGGCGACCGCGGCGGGTGATAACGCCTCTGAGGTCTCAGGAGATGACACTGCCGCTTTCGCACCGGTAGTAAAGAACGGAGAAGGGACATCGACCGCGGACGATGCAAAGACTACAAAGGATTTTGTCGGTTCGCCAACGGAAGGGTCTCCCGATTTGAGCGCACCAATAGAACATTCTCCACTTAGTGCCACATCGGTCAGTAGCTCCAAGCACCAACTATCGTCCAACAGTCGTAGTCCCGAGTTGACACCTTCACATCCGGTCCCAACAGAGGAGGCAGCTCGTAAGTTCGCATACCAACTGCACATCCAATGTCTCTCGTTTACGACTGCGTGCAGCCACGCACGATGGTCGTGGTTGTCGGGGATCAGTGTGGTATCTGCGTTTAAGTCGCCTTGGGATAGCGCACATATCCGAGTTCCGGGTGTGAAGGGGTCCAACAAAAGCAGTTTTCCACAGGGCTGAGTATCGGTACTAAAATTTGAGGTATTTTGTATTAAAATTTATGCATGTGTGTGTACCTTATCAGGGTAGACTCCCAAAGGAAAACCAACCACGTTAGTATTCCTGACCCCATAAGGATACACAATTGTTTAACTGGACCGTACATGTATGCTTTCCGGCGCATACAACTGTGGTCAGCGTCTGAACCCCAAGTAAGTATTGTATCACGTTTAAGACGGACATTTGACTTACTCCAGGTCCACCGTTGTGGCTTATCTCCGGTCCAACCTGTAACTGGTACGCAATGGGAGAGGAGACAAGGGAGGAGCTAACTCGGGTGAACCTTTTATCACCACAGAATTAAATTTTACACTCTAACCACCACGACTCGCAAAAAGTCATGGCTCGATAGGTTGCTAACTGACAGAATGACTCGGACCTTCGAGCCAAGGACCAGACAGTGGTAATGTTTTTATGACAACCGCCACCAATGTGAGGTCACATTTAAATCTGATTCACACCGAGTGAGGAATCAGCACTCATGTTGTGGACATGGGTGGCAACAGACTACTCTTTCGGTACCTTAGTCCGATTCAGTGGGTGAATCAGCACATGGGCAGCTGCGCGGCCAGTACCCTTGAGCCCGTCCGTAGTCTGGACCCAGCCCTGCCACTGAAACACGGTAGAACGGAAATGGGACACGTGACGATTACACTGGCCGCTTCTTCCCCTCGGGTAGTTTTGGTCCACAGACGGCTGTCCCAAGTGCCTGAAGTACGAAAAAGGGCGTAGACCTATATTAGGGCCAGTCGTTGAAGAACAAATTATCTGTCGGTGCCGGATTTGCAGCTCTCGTTCCGCCCCTTCCCCTTTCCAGGTACCTACTGCCCTGAATTTTACCTCTGACTTGTTACTATTAGCGCCTACACGTCACAGCTTGTTTTATGCTTTTGAGCCCACCCACCCGACTGACGTGGTCTGGCCACTTGACCAACCTGGCTATCAGCAAACCGTCCTCAGTCTCCACCGCGTTCCACTTGGACGGCACGGTGACCCTAGTGACAGGAATAAGCGTGGTTTACGATAAAGTCGCATTAACCAGAAGTTATCGCAACCTTACCTTTAACCCGAGAGGTGGACCGAACTATCCCTTCAGTTGGCAACTTCCCAGGCAACGGATTTTAACTGTGTTGGATAATTTACAAGCTTGCTAAGCTTATTATGATGAGAGGAGTAGGTCTTTTCCCTGTTTCAGTTTGTGCTTGTGGCAAGCTTTTATAGAATGCCCAGGAAATTAAGTTACAGCTTAGATTATAGTGGTTCACGCTGGATTGGTCCCTCTTTCCGATTATCCATCGTATCAAAAGAGCAGGACTGAAATTGATCTGAGTACCTGAGTGGGCTCCCACCTCTCGTCTTTGGAGTGCCCCATTCCAGCTGATGTTAGAGTATTTGACCATCCTTAGGTCGAGTGCAACCAGATCTCCCATCTAGGGGCTTAGCTACCATCACCACCCGCTGTCGTTGAAGTGTGCTTATACGGGTTAACTGCCTCAGAGCCACTTCTGCAAACGACAGAGGAGTCACGGTTGGCAGCAATGTATTGAGTCCGACCAGGTTTGTCATGAGCCAAGTTGGGAGCTCTCTTTGAATCAGCTAGTAATGCTGAATGCCCTTACTCATAGCCTCTGACTTGTTCAAAATTCATTATCCGTGCCTGAGAAATGACTACAATGTCAAATTCTGCCATATCAGGGAAAAGTGGTAAGATGGAAAGCCGACGACGTATGCAGGATGTTCAGGGGGCTTAGTTTACAATGTTATGATCCTTGTCGTGGCTGACGTGGCGTTCCCAAGTTAATGTAGTGCATGCATTTGCGTTTTAATCTTTTTCTTGTAATGGCTTCACTTCGAGGTAGCACACTTACAGACTTCGGTTAGTCAGTACGGACGTCCCCTCGTGGGCGATCCATAAGATGTAGCCTGTAGAAGGGCACTACCATATATTTATAATCTCTCGTGTTTGCCGAATACCCTTTAACAAGTCGTCCAACTTCACCCTTAATGCCGGTGATATACTAAGAATTTGGAATGAGGAACGAGGTAGCCAGCATACGCTACAAAGGATTAATAACCCCGACATCTGTGAAAACTTCCTGTTGACACTAAGAAAAAAAGTCAGTCGGCTTAGCAGTCGTATTTTGTCCACTCCCATGTCGTCATTACAACGCTGACTAAGAGATTGCCCCCTTAGGGTCCGAAAATATTTGGGTTAATCACAGTCACAGCCGCCATCATCCTTATAATCACCAAGGGCCGTTGCAGGCTGAGCAACGGCGAGCTTCTGTAACTTCCAGGCCATGCTAGGAAGCAGAGGGCGCGGACGTTAACCGTCCGACGGTAACAATAACAACTGTTTCATAACCGTTAGCTGGCACCACGGCCGAATTATAACATTTAATTGAAAGAATTGGGTAGCGTGGCAACCTAGTGAAGGAGTTAACCTAGGACACACCGTAAATTGCGGGCAAGCATAGCCCTGATTCTTAACTCGGGCAGGGGTTTGACCGTACTTCTGAGCACTAGAGTCATGTTTTTCTCCCATTATTAACGTCACTGTCGCGCAGGCACCCTCGTCTGTATAACCGCACGCAACTGCTTTACCCTTCCTTTATTTGTTTTTTTACACTCATCTTTATCGCTTAGGTGTCCACACCTCTCCCTCCTCTTTACCCGGTGAACCTGTGGATGACCGACTCCATCGTCATCACCAGTCTCCCACGTCTCCCTCCACCCCTCCAGAGTCAGACAATCAAATGAGCCCTACCACCATCACCCCCTCCCAACAGTCGCAAAAACAACAGAGCCCCTCATCCGACCAGAACATACCATCAGTTGCAAGTCCAGTCATTGACACACCACCGCCTGTTGCCGATGTCCACTCACCCAACTTGAGTACCAGCCCACGTGAAAGTGATGGGGATGTGAGCAGTGGCCATCGGCGACGTCGCGACCGGCCCACTAGCCACCGTAAACGGAGACTGGCCAGGGTATCATCTGCCTCCTCCCAATCCGAAGAGGAGGAAAACAGGGTTCCTGACAAGGAGATAGAAAAGCACGCTTCGCATCACCGCCATCACGGAAAACTAGCCAGGACTGATGGTCATGTTGCAAATGGTGGCAGCAAGGGTACCGTCGAAGCTCGGTAAGTTATCCTGTGTCCTCCCGGTCAGGATTTCATTGTCTTCAAGAGGCTTTATAGCGCACAGTAAGTTCTGTCTGCCGAATGTGTTCTTTTGCTCGCATCCTGTAGGGACCATTCTCAAAAGACTGCAAACGGTGGCCTGGAACGGAAGCGCGCGGCGACGCGTAAGTTCCTTTACTTGTCTTCCACCCGTTCGTCGGAACTTAGATGTTTGTTCAGCATATAAATTTGCATTTTGGTGAAGCCCTTGTGGTTGTATTATGTGACTGCGAAAAATTGGTGGGACACATGACTGGACCTCTGGCTAGAAACTATGTTAAATATGGAATAGAACGAATTCCTGTACCCATATTTTTAATCTCACCCGGGTTTTTAAGTCGCCCGCTGATCACCACAGTTATGAAGGCATTAATGTCCCCCTTCACTGCCAGCTTTGGTGAACGAAATAACGGGCTCTTGGAAGCTGTCCCGAAGTGGGACCCTTTAAAGCTATCCCTGTCTGTCCCTCCAAGCCCAGAAAATAAGGCAAAACCTGCCTTATTGGTGGTGGATTAACACGCCGAAAACCAGGTTTCCGGGGTCAGCGGTGAGGTTCGACTTGATCAAAAACGTTTCACTTTCGAAGTCAAAGGTGCGTCTCTTTTCTGTTCAGTATACCTTCGGCTTGTGACTTCATAGGCATTAATTAGCGCTTTCACGGACAAGTCTGCACCCACCCCACCCCAAGCATCTATCCGGACAGCTACAGGTAGGCATCAGACTCTAGTCCGCCTGTGGTAATCCAAGAAATATCGTCAATCTAAACCTTCCTAAATGAGCGGCAGACGAAACTACCCGAACTGTCGGCAAAATGTCCGTTTTATTGGAGTGAATAAACCCCTACAGAACCTAGGACTAGGACTTGTTGGCTGGTCTATTGCTCTACTCACACAACAATGCCAACTTGAAGCAGCATTTCATAAAAGTACGCCGACCAAACGGCGGACGCACATACGCACCCACAGACGGAAAGGCAGCCTTTCTGGGGGAAGTAGGAAGCTCCGCTAGTGATGCTTACATTGCGACTGACTACAGGCATTCTAGGTCAATCACTTATGCAGTTTCCTGGTGCCTATCTGCCTTGGAGCCCAGCCTCACGCGGTTATTTCACTGAAATTGATGCTGACTAATTCGATCGTCCACGCTAGACTTTATGCTGAACTAAGATGTGGTGTTCATGGTCGTAATCGGCTGTAGTTTTGGCCTGACAACTGATCACGCGATAGGTGCGCTAGACCAATACGGGGTCTTGCCGTATTCTGGCAGGCATTATCGGAATGCACGCCATAACGAATGCAAACATCTCGGGGTGCGGTGGCAGACCCAGTTGCCGGCAGACGTTGCGCACATTGGGATCCCTGCGGTCCCCCATTGTTGTTGGTTAAAATGCTGATCATTTGCTGTGTGGACCAGGGGGTGTGGAGTGGAGTGCCAAGGTGCGGACTCGACCGTGCCATCCACCTGCGCCCTCCACCACCCCCGGTCTTCTCGAGTATGTCTTGACACCGGGCCTAGGTGGAAGGGAGAGAGTGCAGTGAATGCTGCGAAAGTCACCGTGCCTGTGCCATCATGCCGTGGAGTACACGGTTGGCATCGTTGGCAACGACAATCGAACCGTCGGTTATGCGAAAGGATCGTGGCAACTGTTATCAGCTAGGGATCCTCCGGTTGACACAACATACCCTTGATTGTAGCTGTTTGTACCAAAGCGCCCACACCTATAAACCCGCAAGACAAGTTATATTCAATGCCCGCGTCACCAGGCTGTCTGTAGTAAAATGTTGGCTGTCTACATGTGAAGGCCTGACAGAGAGAACTAAAAATATGCCGGCCTTTTGTCAAGTTTCCGCGTCTGCAGTCCTCACTCCTACCCCAAAGCTACCTCATTGTATTTTTCTCCTTCGTACTGTTTCCCTCGTTACAAGTAAACCCCTGTGCTAAAGTATGTTTTATTTTCACAGCCGACTGCCTTCAGCAATTGCGAAATCTCAATCGTCAGCTCAAGGCCAGTCTTCTGCGTGGTCGCGATGATCATGCCAATGCCTTAGCTATCTTCGACCAGATTTGTGCCGTACCCGCCACCTTGGTCCAGCTTACACAGGCCTCGGATCTCACAGACTGTGTCAAAAAGGTTCTTTCCACACTTTCCCCATCTCTTTAGTGACAAGTTTTGACTAAGGGGCACTGTACTTTTTTGCTTTGCCTCTTGGTGTGCCGACGTCCGAAGAGGTAGAGCGGTTTGAACACCATTCCATGTTGGCCAACTTCGCCAGTTTGACCTATTTACCACCAGATTTATGTTGCGAGACGGAGTCTCTCTGCATGCCTAAAGATGGGGAATTGTGAAACGGCCTTCAGACTCTTGAGTGCGATGAATAAGCAGTCGGTAACTTGGCAGCAGTAGTATCCTTTTGGTATGGGTATCAACCTGGCAAATCGGCCTCCCATCAAAGGGCTTCAAGGTATGGTGATACTTATTACATTGTGAGTGTTGCTTGCGCTCTAATGTAGTTTCACCCATCGTCGTCCGACACAATCCGGGAACTCTAACCAATGTGTTGAAGGGTCAATGGAGACCTTCATCTCATCATCCAAGAACTACGGAAAACCACCTTGCACCAAGCTTGCGGGCAGTCGTCTTACAACCAGCAGTAGTGCCCAAACGGTGCAAAACTCTCCCTAACGACCGCACCTGCCTGTTACCCATTAGTCTGACCGGGTGCCTGCAACGACATCACAGCATGACTAGAGATTAGTGTCAGACGCCCTGTTAATACCTATCATGCCTGCCTTCTCTTCCCGTAGACGTTGCGCATATCTGCTCGGTCTCATACGCATGCGCAAAGGCAATCAGTAAACCGTCGCTTATCATTCATTCACAATTGCGCTAACATCCGTCCACAGCCACCCTTACTTTGGCTTGCCCTTAGAAGAGAAAAAGATAACGAGGTAAGTGTGCGCAATCCACCGCCACTGTAAGGAGAACTCTTACAGAGGCTACCGCTGCGCCCCGGGTGCTCTGGTTGTCGTCGTTCGCGGGGTCGCGTGGCCATTTTCAGATACGTCTGAGTGCCGACGTTTGTGATCGCACCCTCGGATCAAATTTCCTCTCATAGCCTCTCCTTCATGGTCATCACTGCAGTAATTTGGCGCAGACTTTTTAGACTCTACTGCTTAGAATCGAAAAGATGTGTTTTGATAGAATCGGTAACAGAAGGGGTGAGATTAGGAGGATTGGCAATTGTCTCCTGCGCTGGGCTATCTCCAGGAGAGGAGCCCAGTTGCCTCGATGTATTTTTGGTCTGTCATCTGCCGAGATTCGCTAGTTCGAAGCAGGATGCCGGTGTTTCCACAGCTGTCAATAAATACCTATATCAAAAGCGATTATTTGCCAACGTTTACTCAAATCATTTGACTCGACCGTGAAAAAAGGTCGTAAAGACTAGCAAGTGATGTCTCGCTTCTCAAGCAGTCCGCTGATTTCCTAACTATTCTACTGCCACACTTTCTGCCCCCTCGGGTCTGGTCCTCGTCCTTGACTCGAATACGAAGCATCTATTGACTGGGACTGTCTTCCAGCGGAAATCTGCAACCGTTTTTGACAGTATCAACTGGCCGAACATACAGCTGTCTGAAACGAGTTTGGGGAACATAAGCGCTCAAATTGGAGCGAAGGTGTCATTATGCCGATTTTTTTTAAAGAGAAAATATACAGATCCGGATTAAAAAAACTACCAGGACGCGTAATCCTCCATAACGTCCTCACAGTTGTCTGTGTCAGTTGCATCCGCCGTTGCTACGGGGTGCAGGCCAATAAGCATTAGTGTCACTTTCAGTGGGGATGTCTTGATGACCGCTTGTCACTACGCCAAGACTTCGACCACCGCAACTGCGATCAGGCCCTCTCTTGTCTGCCCTGTGGATTTGGATCTGTCCGTGAGAGTTCCTTGTGGCCAATCTACTCAGCTGATGCCACACTGCTGCCGCTATTTCCAGTGATTTAAGCTTACTACCACCGAAAAAGTGTTTGTGTCCATGTCAATGGTGAGAAGAGGGCTCTATTCGGTGTTTCTTCCACCGTCCGTCGGCACTGCGCTCACACAACCTACGCGATGGAGTCCGTTATCCTACGCACTCTGTCAGACTACTCTGGCCCGCGTACTACGGATCTTGACTACGTCGATGGTGAACTCTTTTGCATCAACGCGACCAGCTATGTCCCAGGTAGATGTTAAGGCGACCGAAGTAAGCCCATAAATCAACAGCAGAATGAGGCTGTCCATTGAGGCTCTTTGGTGAACAGGCTCTGCCGCACCGGGCGCCGTTTTCTGTCAAACAAACCGCGCAAACGTGCACACTGTCTTCGATATGTAGAAACCCCTCGGCTTGGCACAAAATCAAAGGGTCTCCGTTCAGACGCGTCCGCACGACCACGACGCATGGTCAGTGCCGAGTGGTGGAGAGAAAGGCAAGTTTCGAGATCCATCTCTTTGGTTGCGCCCTCACCATGACCTCTCTCTCTCTCTGACTCCCACCTTTATTTTCTTGTTAAGTGTCGGCGTTACAAACTATCAGCCGAAGTTCGCGATAAGGCCCAACAGGTCCTGGCGCATTTCCATTCTATCCAAGCGGCCGCATCACCGGAGGAGGTACGTCGGGCGGGCAAGATACCCTTTGTTTTTTTGCTGCTTATCTCATCTGTAAAATTTAAAGCCTAGAAGTCTGCCTTATACAGAAGACGTCAAGACATGCCCGAACTTACAGAGCAGAAGTAATGCGACTTTAGATGAAATCCCTTAACTTACTTGACGTTCCGATGAACAGTCTAGGCTTTGCCGTGGTCAAGTGAAGTACTGATTGCTCAAGTTAACCGCCCACTTCTTCACCTCATTTCTATATTTTTATAGACTAGCCTTTGTAGGTATGCTCGATAATAAAATCGTTGCAAGTTGGCCGGTGCCCACTGGTCCACAAGTCCAAGTTGAGTGGTCCAAAGGGTTAAAATTCAGGAAACTGAGTACCCATACCTTTGGCCGCATTTGGACTCCTTGATTGAATGAAACAGGGCCCCATTTTGCACTACACATCTGACAGGTCGGGAGGTCCCGTTGGATTTAGCAGATGTACCCCAAGCTCTCCTCGGCCCAACTCTGTAATACTTTTGTCCAAGTAATCAGGCGAATTTTGAGGCTATCGGGTCTCCATACTAGCCCCCCATAAAGCGACTGTCAGGAATCCTTTTCCTAAACTTCTATTTGTTTTGTTCCAACCTGAAACCCTAGAGACGATCAGAAGGTATGATCCTTTTGGTTGACAAGCAGGCCGGATTATTTGGAAATATTTCTGACCGCTCCTTGTAATCCTTAACTCCTTTGTCATCTCCCGCATGGTCAGCCTTGAGTTCCTCTTCACCTTGACCTCAATATTGGCCACAGGCCTCTCGGTGTTGCCTCTTGTCATCTTTGATTTCTCTGGTTTTCTCTCGCAATCTTGTTACATTGCTCAGGAGACTGGCAACCGCATCATATTGACCGAAGCAGACAAACCTGCTGATGAAAAGCCGCAATCTATGACATTTGTTTCCCTCGTAGTGTAGCTGTTTTCTGAAATAAAGGGTCGGAAAGACTGCGCTTAAGTCAGCACTTTAGTTCGTATACGGTGATGGGAAGTTACATCCATCTCCACCCCAGTTAACGATTTCAGGCATCCCTGTCGATTGTATGACATTTTCCTTTTCCCCGTCCCCTGTCTAGGTACAGCAAGCAATGGCGATAGTTGCGGAGAGAGTGAAACAAGCAAAGATGTCGCAGACCGCCAGTGGGCCTATAAATCAGGACGAGAATAGCCAGGGATCCCCTGCAGTGCCTACTAGTGTCGTCTCACAGGCTCAAGTTGGCGCGGACACACCTTCCGCTACTGCTACGGCCCCTCGGGCAATATCGCCTACGCGCTACTGGGAAGAAAAACGAGCCAGTATCAAAGCGGAGTTGGACGAGCGTGCAAACAGTGTTCTGTCGATGATTCGTGCAACCGAAGAACGAGTCGCTGCCGCGTCTGCTGCCTCGGCTACATCTCCGACTGGCTTCAAACGACCAAGTTATTCCTACGATCCACCAGCCAACACTGCCACAGTCGATGCTGGTATGGAGGATGACGCTACTGTGATATCCCGTGTTGACGAGATCGCCAGCTACTTTGAGGCTAATGCCTGGCTCTCGAAACACACTCTTAACTCGTCGAAAGCATCCCGGGGAAGGCATTCTGTCTCAGCCGACACTGTCCCGCCTCCTCCTCCTCCGCCACCACCACCGCTTACACAACTGACCTCGTCGATGTCAGCGCCATCTCAGGCGGATGCTGATCTGGATCTGGATACCCGAATCCGCCGCATGATTGACAGTAGTGGTAACTCCCCTGCTGTCCCACCACACCCAAAGGACGGACACTCAGGTACGCGTCACCACCAGCGTCACCACGCACGAAGCGGACTCGGATCATCGCCACTCCCACCTCCACCTCCGCCGCCGCCGCCTTCTCTACTGCCACCGGCCGGTGACGCAACACAGCAGCGGCCTCAGTCGCGTACTTCTGCTCTGCCTGCGGACCTACTGGCTAAGCGCGAGCTGATTGCCTCTAAGGTGGCTGCCAAGAGAGCGGCTGATAGAGTCGCAGCAGCTGCAGCAGCAGCAGCCGGTGCCGTCGGAGGAGTGCTCTCCTCTAAGCAGGCGTTGTCTGCCCCTGCTGGCGTCAAGATAGATTCCCTCTCAAAGATCCCGCTACCACCATCGCCACCAGTAACCGGGAAGACTGCCGCTGGCACAGAGAACATGGCTCTGGCCAATGGTGACGACGATGACTCCGACATTTATGATCTCCTTGGAGTTTGACTTCTCTTGTGTACACACGCACAGAGAATAGACAAACAGAGGCACTTCACAATTATCAGGTCCGGCAGTCTCGTCACTTCTTTCTCATTCTCTCTCATGCTTTGATTGAACTTGCTTCTCACTTGCTCTACTCCGTCAATCGTGTGTCTAGGTTCGTATGCGCCCTCGAGTGTGTGCTCACGCTTCCTTAAGAAAGTGTGTTTGTGTCTGCATGCGTTGGCCTCTTTGCACGTTCATTCCTGTAAAGTAGAACCTTTCAACCCTTTTTACTCCTCGAGTTGCCTTTTCATCACATACGTACGCATATAGCTTCCTCTCATACCCTCCTTCTGTATGTCGTCTCCCCACACTCCTTATCCCCCAGTTAGACACCGGGTACTCCTAGATTGCATCGGCGCCCCCTCCCTTAACCCGGCTTGGACTGTCCAGCACGGTGTATATACAATATTTGAGTCCGTTAGTAAGAGTTGTCGAAACAAAGACACTCGGGTTTATTAAGTCGTCCCATGAACCCGTCGATAGTTGTCGCCCTAAAATTCGCCGCCTCTTCAACTCCAGTCGCTATTAGCCCATGCCTATGTTTATTTTGCATAAAAAGTTGATCTGACTGGAAAAAACCGAAAATTGCTTTAAATTGCCAACCTGAAGAAGGCTTAGGAGGCTGCGGAATGAAATCCCAGCTAAGCGCCATCTGTTAATTGCCAAGGCAAGATCTGCGTGTTTAAATCAATATTCGCGCATTGACTATCCTGTCGGCGTTCTTTGGAAAACGGAGTCTACGCGGTTGTAAAACGGCTGTGCTTGACGTCATTCCGTAAGTTGTTTTTCATTGTTTTCTCGCAGAGGAGGTAATGGTTTTCTCAGGGGTCACCCAGACTTTCTCAGTATAACCCAAGTGCATATATTTCCTTCACGTTTTCGGTAATAACTGTTCGTGGAAGATAGGCAGAGTTGCTGTTAGTTGTGCGACACAAGGGATTTGAATCCTACTCGGCAGGCTTGGTCTTAAGTTTATAAATTCGATGGAATTTTTGAGTAGGACGTCGTTTTTTAGGATTCTCCGTTAGACTAAGACATTAAACTAGGGGTTTGTAGAAACTTAGTTAAGAGTTCTGGATTGCAATAGGGAACAAGGCATTTTCCGCTTTCTGACGATTTTTCATCTTTTGGAATGGTACGGGTGCCACTATTTTTTAGGGTTTTAAGAAAGTATTAGATACTTTTATGCACTACCCCCTGAACAAATTTGATCGAGTTGACTCCGGAGAACCGTTACTAAGTGTCATCATTGTTTATGAGTCTAACCGTCAACTCGTCTGGTTGAGGTCGCGTTCCCAAACTGGGCATCCTCCGTATTCCTCGTTTTTTCCACATCTACCCATTTTGATGACTTTACTTCTAGGCCAGCACCTGTTCAGCCGGTGTTTGAGCTGGCGGATTTACCATCGGAGGGGGTGAAGTCTATGACCGAATTACACGAGACAGCCGCCCTTCGCCTTATCACCGTTAAGTTATCCCAAATCCCTAGTTTAATGTCGCGTTCGACATGTTTTCTGTCGTCGAGAATTTTGGCATGTAAAAACATGACTCGACATGCGCCATCGCAAAATTGGATTTATAGTGAGCCCGACGGGCTCATAACTCTGCGGCTGCTGATATTCGTGGAACGCCCTGGTCAGTTTTCAAATCTGATAGTCTCGGTTGCCTCGGCGGGTGCGCAGTCCGTGAACGCCCTGATTCCAGAGTGCAACTCCTTTGGCGAACTGTTCTGAAAATGTGGAAGGAGACGCCGTGAAAGTTGTTTTCCTGTGGCAGTCTGCAAGTGCTCCTCTGCTCTGACTAATTAGCCGGCTGCATGAGCCCATGACCAAGAGTTGAGTCCTTTGGGGCCCTGACAGGTGAGCACTAACGAAGCGGTCAACTGTAGTTTTGGCGTGTTGCATTTGGATCTGATATAGGCAACATTCGCATTACACGTGATGAACTTTCGAGCGGTTCTTTGGTTTGGGGGAAAGACCCACCCGTCTTACAAGTAGATTTGATGTGACTACCGACATTGTTAGTCTGTAAGGCTTGTCGAGTCTGATGCTCACCTAGGCCAACAATACTGCACCTGTAACCTCCAGATAGGAAGGGAGGTTGTAGCATTCACCGCATTAAGACTAACTGGCTATTTTCAGAGTATTCATTCTATGTTGCGACTTAAGATAGTCGGAACTGGGCGGGTGTAAGAATAGATGACAACAAAGATCTAGAACTCCAGCCTGCTTCTGACATCGAGAAAATCTAAGGTGCATACAAGATACTCCTATTCCCCAGTATTATAAACTAAGGGACAAGCAGGAGCCTGTTTTCCGTTTAAGGACGGTGCCTCCTCAAATTCATTTGGTTCACCTTCGTCAATATTGTTTGGTGTTATCTTCTGTCCCCTATTGATTGCTAAAACCACTACTTCCAAATGCTTTCCGGTAGGTGGCGACAATTACTAATTCTGCCGAACCTTGTGCCCTGTCTTCTTGGGTGTGTGAGAAGAGCCAGGCTTTGGGACTTGTGTAATTACCGTTTTTTCGGCCAATCAACCTACTTCACTTAATTGGAGCACTTCCCTGCGGACTTCGGTTAATGGGGCGCTTGAGTAGCTATCGCTGTGGTTGCAAAAACCAGATGACTAGCACACTTTCGACTGCCCAGAATAGTCGAACATTATCTCAAATGGATGGGGGACAACGTGTGTTACGAGCCAGTGCGGAGCATAATCCCGAAGTGATTTATTCTCAGTTGCTTGCCGACTTTTGGTCTGGTTGTCCCGGGCGCCCCTATAAATTGCATTGGAGTAAACGATCTGTTTCCGCCAGCAGCAATCATTCAATGCATACTATTAAAAGTGAGGAGATTGTGGTCAGGGTCAGTTGCCACTTTAGACGGAAATTAACTGTCAATCCCCAGACTGTTCCCACAGCGATACAATCATGCGAGTTTCCTTTCTCACAGTGGCCTGCATTGGGAAAGTAATTACTAATTGGAGCTATATGTTAAGAATTTTCATCTCTGTTCTCCGTAATGAAGTCGGGCGGCTCTTCAATTGACCTCCAGCGCCTGTGCAGACTTCGTTCTATAGTATCTGGCCTATCTCATGAAATGTAAGTCGAAATTCTGAAGTATCTTCAGTCACACCAGGAGGCTGACAATCGGCTACACTTTTTCAGGCTGCCAGTAAAAAAAACCCCGACGAAGATGAATACTAAAGTAGTATGCATTTTTGCCGCTGATTCTCGATGCTTTTATAAATTAAAATATACTCTATGGGAGTCACGCACACAAATGTTTTCTTGTACTTCCGGTAGCAGACCACGTCCTCTGCTTTGTACCTGAGGAAGGATTATCTTCCAGCTTTTAGAAATTCAATTCCCGAATGATGTTGAACCCGACCTGCGGCTGCACTTGCCTTTAGTACTTCTAAACTACATACTGTATACGTAGGAGAATCCTACATTTCTCTACGCTACAAAAAAGTCGTATATGACCTGTAAAAATTTCGCGATGGATGCCAGCCATGTACGCATCATGAGCAGCTTTAGTAGCCTGACATACACGATGCTATATGGAGTGTTTAGCGGTCATAAAGACCTTAAAACGAATAAATACCCTTTCCTTAAGTACAAAATTTGGAGATGTGATTTGCTGCAAAACGAGTGCAGGAATGTTTCTATGCCTGATTTCTGTAAAATATAGTTGAATTTGTGTAAGGACATCAATAGTGAAAATGCCTACTGCTTAAGTGTAAGTTGTCGTTATTACGTGTTGTTTTTGCATGCGGCCCAAAAGACGCGCATTCAATAGCCGACATCCTGACGCGGCTGAAATATCTTGGGACTATGCCGCGCAATAATCAGTATTGTAACCCAACCATCTAACCGAGAACACGTCTCGTAATGGCGATCAATATTTCTCAATATTCACCACCTACTGTACATCCCCGAGCGGGTGCGCAAAGCCTTCATGTTTCATCTTCCTGAGGCATTGTATTTGAAATTTCTGAGTGCTGATACATTATGCAAATTAGCTGATATGCATGTTTGGAAACTAAACCTCTGTTTACCTCGTTGGGGACGTACAGTAGGTGAGCTAATTCATGAAATGTCATCTGAAATTCCGAAATGCGTTTTCCTTTCGAAAAGATTAATTAAGTAGGGTTGTAAAACTTATCAGTCTGCAGTATCATTCTATAATAATTCAGCTAGCTCAGGATTCTGGCTTTCGAAGGAACGTCCTTCCGGCTGCATACAAAAACTGTACTCTGTAAAAAATGACTACTTAGGTAACATGTATTTTTCTCATTGATTTTCGATCCCCCTAAAAGTCTAATTATATTTCATGGAAAACATGAATAAAAAATATTCATTCCGTTTATTCGGTAGAAAATTGCGTCTTCCAATTTTATACTCGAAGGAAAGGTAATACTCAGTTTCCAAGAACTTTTCTAATTCCCGAATAATTTTGAACCGGCTCGGCCGTCACACTTGCATTCAGGGTTTCCTAAATACAAGCCAGGTATTTGCCGCATACGGAATATCACATATTTCTCTACGGTAATCAAGGGGGACCATATAGGGTTCATAAAATTAAGCCGTAAATTTGCTCCGTATTGTTAACTTCACAAGCCACATTGGTAAATGAGGAGACATGGCGTTTTATGAACGGCCATAAAACGCCGTTATGTCCGAATTATGTCCCGCCTTCGAGTATAAAATTGAAAGAAAAGGTAATTTTCTACCGAATGAGCGAAAAATTAGTATTTTTATGCGTGTTTCCCGTGAAATATAATTGGACTTTTAGGGCCATTGAAAATCAATGCGGAAAATGCATGCCGCTTAAGGAGTATAGTTTTTGTATGCAGCCGGAAGGAAGTGCATTCGAAAGCTGGCATCCTGAGGTAACTGAATTATTTTACGATGATACTGCAATCTGATTAGTTTTATAACCCCCCCCCCCCTTAATTAATCTTTTCGAAACGAAAATGCATTTCGGAATCTCAGTTGATATTTAATGAGTTAGCCCACCTACTGTATTAGTGCAGTATACTCCCAAGATATTTCAGTCACACCAGGATGTCTGCTCTTGGATGCACTTTTACCTGGCCGCCTGCAAAAATAATCGCTACTTAGAGATGGTATGGCCCACCCATTAATTTGGGATGTCCTTATAAATTCAAACATGTTTTATAGAAAGCTTACGCAAAAGCAAATTTTTTGCATTCTGTCGGAAATTGCGTCTTTAGATTTTTCCACTCGATGGACCTAGATGGACTGGAAAATACGCCTTCATCGAATTGGGAATCTGCAGAATCCAAAATGAGTGCAAGAACTTACTGTGCATGCTTTCCGTAAGACGTTTTTGCATTTATAAGCTCAACGGAGATCAATGGGAAAAAGCATCTGCCTTAAGTAGTCATCTTTAGCGAGTATGTTTTTTTACAGGCGGCCAGAAAGACGTGCACATAAAAGCCGCTATTCTACTGTTACTGGAGATTATTCCTTATTATGCTCGACGTCACACCTCCATCCAGGTACACCCTCCTAACCGAACAATTGTCATTCAAGAATCGATCTAGGGATGCATGAATTTATTGCGAATCTCGTTCCCTGACAGTCGATTAGGGCAACCTCATTTTAGTCACTGCATGTTTCGCAACGGACTTTGGAAACGCTAACCGGACGATGGGGTTCACATTTGCCTCATAAAAACAGCCGCCATGTGCGCAGGACCTTGCAGAATGTTGATGTCATTCGATTCTATTCGATTTCAAGTAGAAAAATGCTATTTAGGTGAGGCTGCAGAACCGATTGGTGGTGAACTTAGTCCTACATCGATTCCTGAACGGAAGCATACTTTTTTTCTGCTGTTTATCTTTACAACTATCTGCGTGAATCACAGTCGGGGAGATCGCCACTTAAGCAGTAAGTGTCCTATTTTGCACCAATTTTCCTCACGTGCAAACCTAGTCATACATGCCCAGAAAGGATCACAAAAAAGGATTTTTTACGCGCACTTTATCAGGAATCACTTCCTTTAATTCGGTTATCATGGTGAGAGGGCATTTTCACTCTTTAGAAAAACCTACTATTGTGAGGGTTTATGAAGCGTCCAGGTTTGCCAATCCTGCTCGCGAATTCTGCGACTTGCCTCATATCTGTCGAACTACTTTATGAGCACAAGCGTGTTTCCTGACAAAGGCTTATGGAGTAGTGTGAATTCGCTTAAGAGAGAATTCATAACGTGCAGTTTGGGAGGCATGGGTTTCACCTTGCTTGGGTGTTTGTGTCCTAAATTACGCGGTGATCAGAGAACTTGATTCTGGCTACTTATTTAATTTCAGTACCACATTTTGGAGAGATTGCGCCGAGAGACAGGTGTAAATACTGTTTTTGTACCTTTTTGCTGGGAAACATGCTTCAGTCTATGAGTAGGGGAAGTCAAGGGCTAGTGCTGACTACCCAAGTAGCGAATTTTTTTAAGTCCGATTTAATAGTTGACTTGGAGAATACGCATCCAATCGCCAGCAAGCAACTGCAATCAAATAGACTTTAATCATTCCCACTGTTAACTGCATTTGGAGTCTTGTACGATGAATATGCTTAGTCTTAATAAGTATGACGGAACGTTGGTTAATGTTTATTGGCCCCGAAGAATGCTCTAAATTGAGGAGTTACGTACGGTAATGGATTATGATGGACAAAAAGAAGGGCAGGTTAGACGGCTATTTCTCACACATTAGCTTCCTCCAGTCGATCGTGCCTGAAGTTGAGAAGGTCCGAATTTCGATAGAGGTTTAGTTGTTGACTGAACTAGATATTATACAAGTTAAGCTACGGGCTCCCCTCCAATCACTGTTAGGACTAATAGCCCAGGACGCTATACGGGCGTTCGAAACTGCCTTGGAGTCTCACAGCTGACCCTTATCGTTAGCGATCATCAACTACCCGTCAGCAGGTTGCGCCTATGAGTGCTCTAGCTCAGAAGTTTGGGGCAAAGGGAGCTGCCGCATCTCATCCTATCGCCGGAGTGAGTCGGTGGACGCCCTTCTCGCGTGTGGCTTTGATTCAACGCCACCGTTTCAGGGAAGGGAAGGGGGGATCGCTGTGTACACGGAACTGCGAGGCCCACTGTCCTTTGCAGTGCTGGAAGTCGGTAATTTTTTTACACGACAGAAGGCTTGTTCCGCAAGTCGAATTTCTGCAGATTCGTGTTCAGTCGCCCTAACCCTCGCTATTTTTGGGCTTCTCGCTGATATCGAATCTCACAAAGCACTGTCTGAACTCCTTACTTGTGCCTTCAAGTTCAAAGGAGTGTCCACATGGCCCTGCAGATCGCATCGTGACAAATCACTTTAAAGTACTGTGTTTTATTAATTATCTTTCGATGCTTGTATTAAATCAGTCTGCTTTAGTGGGCAACAGATGAAATGTCGTATTCCTTTTCTAAGAGGTCTACTGATATTGCCACTTAGTGTCTAGACAAGGGGAATGTTTTTTAATCTCTTCCTTTTTAAAAGTTTTTGAACCACTTCTTTCAATCTAGATAAGCTGGTTGATCGGCTCTGCTTGTCTCAGCATAGCAAAATAAAAATATTTAGCAGATTGACTTCGAGGGACGTGCATACCACGTAGATAAGTCTTGTGTGGACTTGCTTCATGTTTCGAACTATCTCTTTACTATGTTTCTGACGCCGGGCAATTCCATGACTTACAATAAACCTCATGTATGGTTATAAGAACCGGCTTTGTCAATCTTTTATAGGAAGGCACGTTGCACATGCACATGTGAAAATTCCAGAAATCGATATACTACTCTAGAATCGAGGAGCCTCCTTGTTGTTTGTGACTGAGACTGTTTGAAAGACCATTCTTGGGCCGTTTTTCATATCATCGCCTCAATTAAGTGTCCTTTTTGTCTGAAAGCAGAGTAGAAATTCTGCCAGCGTTCATGAGTGTTGTTGCCTGCAACGCGCTCAGTTATGTTTGGGCGATTTCTCACTTCGGGAGGTCGTGGTCAGTTGAGAAATACTACTTTGAGAGCCGTCGTAATTTTTCTAGTGACACTTAAATCCCGGCCACATGTGGTAAGTAAACTCACTTTCATAACGCCAGATCCCATTCCAAGTTACTCCACCTCTCCAACATTCTGGGCTCGTGTTCTCGACTTTTTTGTAGAGAATAGTACTTCGCGAATTTACTTTGTCCTTAAGGGTGGTCTGCAGCGTTATCCAATGTCCACTAACTATGTGTATACCTATTTGCCATCGAACGATGAAGCTCTACTGACTGACGTAAGAGTTTAAATGAGCGTCTGCCTCTGACTCTTAGTTACAGTGAACATTTTTTTACCGCCCAGGGCAGATTCGTTGACCATAGGTCGGTAGTTCCAATCGCCCAGGCTTTGGAAATTAACAAATTTGCGTTTATAACAGTTCTGGGTCCTCGATCTGCGGCTTTCGATAGGCTGATGAAAAGGCTGTAGACTGCCTACTTGTCTTTCCTTTATGCCTCTGACTGGAGACCTGTTTATGAGCCTGACAGTTCAGGTAAATATGTAATACCGGTGATTGGCTGCCTCTTTGGGTTTTTGCATTAAAAAGCCTGGGAGATGGGGCTCTAAACGTTTGGACTAAATACGACTAAACTGGTGCTTAACACTCATATGACATTCGGTAACAATTGACTAGAACTAGTTCAGCTTTGCACGTTGATCACACCAGATCTCAGAAAACGTTTTTACCCTGCTTTTGTGATGGTTTTGTAATTTGGGGCAGAGGTTGTTTTTGTTCCTAGGGGGTGACGCTTTTTCGATTTTTTTGTCAAAGCGGTTAACTGCTCTCGTGGTTTCTTCGTGAATCCAGGCTTCACGCTGGTCTGCAACAATATACGCTCGCATTTCCTAGTGAGATGTTGCGCCTTGAGAAATCCTCCACATAAGCTCCTGCAAAGTATTTACTTGTGGATAGGGATGGAATGACCGTTTTCCTTTTGATGTTGGTCTGTCAAGTACGACTGGAGCATTTCGTTTTAATTCTATCACCTCTGTAAAATTGTGCCACACCGAAATTGTTTAGGCCTCTCAGTTCTATCTCCTATCGTTTTATTCACGTTTCGCTGAATTGTTCCTCTCATTCATTTGGCCAACTTCCCTGTTCAGAAAGTGTGATTTTTTTTTGTGTGGCGACACCTGTGCCGGTTTTTATACTACACACTCAGCCACCATACTCACTGGCCAACCATTTTCGGTCTTGAACCAAAGTGGACACGATTGAGCAATAGCTTTATTTGCCTGATCTGTCTCAATTCTCGTATCTCGAAGTTGTGTGTCCTCGCCTCGGGTCCTTTATGCTTATTCTGAGTGTTTTAGTGAATTCACCTACCAATTTAGTTGTCCGCATAGCCTACTAACCGTACCGCGTATCTTATGAATTCTGCACCTATGCTCTGTCATGCTAAAAGGCCCTTCTTTATTTTTTCTTCAAATTTTAGACTATACACCATTATCTGTTTGTGGATGCTCCATCTCTCGAGCGTTCTGATGGCGCTTGGTTCTGTCAGGGACCCTTTGCACTGCGTGTTTTTTATTTGCACGCCAGTCAAGTACAACGGAATCTGAGGCAAAAAGCGCTGTTAGTGTCTTTATTCCCCTTTCTTCCACGTAATAAAAACTGTATATACATATTCATACTGTGTGTGTTTCAGCCACCTACTCTGTAAACACGCAATCTTTTAGCCACCCCACTTCTCATACTGATTTTGTCAGGGCGATCGATCCACTTAACATCCCCGGTTTTGGTCTTCGTCTCCACCAGTCTAGCACAGTTTGAGGTCTTTAGTGAGCCCTTGGTCCGAATATCCCATGTGTGCTGGCGGTTGCAAGTTCTTCCTTCGGGCATATTTTGGAGGGCCTGCTTTGAATGCTGTACCTGAGTCTCTCCGTACCAGCATGTTATCAGAAGCCTTGGATTAGTTAACCGACTTCAAGGGCATTTGTTCTGCCTACCCGGAGTTTACGAGATGGGGCCCTCAAGAATTTTGATTACGGTCAATTTGGACGTGATTATTCACGAAGATTCTTTTCTGTGCGTCTGGAGCATATCGGTGGGGAATTCAACCCGGCTGATACTGTTTCTTCAATAAATGAGAGCGAGAGAGAGAGAGACAAAGCGGTATGCGTTAGTAGAAAAGTGCGATTATCGGGCAAACTAATCAAGTTAGTAAAACGTAAGTTGGGTACTAGGGCACTAGTCACGCAAAAGGGATGCTGGCAGAGACTAGAGGCGTCGAATTTGTCTTTTTTCCACCCTGCACTTCTGTCTTACTTGAGCTTCAGTTATAACTCTCTGCTAGTGGCAATTAAGCGAGAAGTGTTAACTCTGACGCAGCTTTCCTTTGTCGGTATCGGTGCTTGGAAACAACTGGCTGATATCGTATTGGAGGCGTCCCAAAAACGAAACGCAAACGAAATTTGTTTGGGCGCCTGTCCGATTTACGGCTGAATGGTTGCCGCAAAGCCCCGACTTAATAAAAGGCAGTGAAGATGGAACCCCATATCAACTCTTCATCCTATTTTCGTTATTACGCAGTTCCGACAAAACTGAAAACACCTCCCTGCTCCTGTAGATGTCTAAAAACACAAGGCGCCTTGCAGCCCTTGGCCTATGAATTGGGTGAGAAGGCCATGAATGTCTGTTAAACCCGGTTGTTCTCAACGCTCGTCATCTTTGCTTACAGGCTTCCTCCAAATAACTGGACTTTCCGACTACTCGAGCCCACCTGTGCAGTCCGTAGTTGCATATTAGTGCTGCAATGCATGTATTTAAAGGCCATCTATTCTGCCGCTCATTTCTTTCTGATAAACGAACTGTTACTCCTGTTTCGCGGTCAACTTGTCACGCAGCATCTTAATTGCATCCAACTGTTAGTGTTGCCTGTCACACAGTCTCGACTGACTGATAATCGCTGCGTTTTGTAGCCGAATTAATCACCGCTTCTGCCTTTAAGACCGCGATTAACACCTCAGCCCTGATTTGGTAAAGCTGGCGGAGATAATACGAGAATCTGATAATGCCGCGCCTCCCATCTACAGTGAGCTCTTGGCCAACGCACAGCGCAATCTGCCCTCAAGGCTCTGGCTATCAAAACTTCCCTTAAATAAAATGTCGCTTAGCATTGCCTACAATGCTGTCTCAATACCAACGTAGCGTCGTACTTTATACCCGTTTCACATATCAAAGCTATGCTCTGCGTTTATCGATTGGACATCGATCGATGACATCCCTAGTGCCGTAGGTCTTAGTCTCCCCAGGTATCCTCAAACCAGCCGGCTGTTGGACGCCACGCCTCCCCTATTGTCATTGTTATGATCAAATTATATGTGTATTCACATGTGCGAATACCAAGTTGTCCTTCTGTGCTGCTTGCTTAACCGTTTGTTTATCTTTTCAGATATGTGCTGCCACACGCGCACACTCACACCCTCAAGGCCCACTGCATTGGCGAAACTTTAATATCCCTAAGGTTTCTAACCGGACATGCAAATGTCAGTGTGGGAAATTCCTGCATGCGCTGATTACTAACGTATGTCCAGGTGCAGAACGTCTAATTAGTACTTTGGGGAAGTGTTCTGCCCCACCTGTTCTTATTCCTCATGTTCTTGAAGCCCGTTATCGTCAATATTATGTTTGCATCTTCCGTCCAGGCCGCTGGATAATCCGTCAAGTCAATGCGTTTTACTATCCCACATCCTGCAAATGTTGCAAAAGTAGTGTTTTTGAATGCACTCATACAGGCAGACACACACACAGAAACGCGTAGTAGTGCGTTTTTATGTCGTATGCGACCTTGCAGACGAGTTTTTCAACTGCCACAGCTTTACTTACTAGAGTTAGTCGCAGAACTTTGTCGAGGCCCATTACTCTCTAGCCGAATGCGCGCTTGCACGTAAGTAATGGAATTTGGTTGGCTGCAACTGTGTGCTTTTACAGTTCATGTCCTCATTGACTCAATTAATTGACTGGCCACCTGTTTACATGCATGCCAGTGTGTTCTAAAAGTGGCAGGGCATTTTTTGCCACTGGGAGGGAAGTCGTCTTTTTTTCCGTCGATTCTTATGAGGACTGCTGACATACTCTTCCTTGTACACGCGAAGTAGTAGTGGAACTTTCAACTTCTTTGCCGATATCTTATAGTTCCTATGATTTGCCACTGGGCAAAAAATGTCTGCGAAGGCAGTTCTGTGGATCCTATACACTCAAGAAGTGGCCCCCACAGCGACGGACGAGAAGAAGGCACAGTGGCCATTTCTGGTTTATTCGCTGTCATCCGTGCTACGGATCACGGGCTTATGCCATCGGAGGACCCTAGCCACTCCGACCATTTTTCCCGAACAAGAGGAAAAGAAGTGGGACACCAGTTGGGAGGATGTCTCATTCTGTATAGAACTACTAGAGAAGAGGTTGTTAGAAGGACTCGGCAGTCGGACTAGGTCACGTCCGAAGCCGCGAGTGTGGGACAGTGGGCCAATCGTCCAGCGCCTGCAATGAGGTCATGTTTGCGTCACCCTCGAAGATGATTGGCCAATTTGGACAGGCGTAATTGGCCGAGAACCAGATCGCAAGTGGTGTGCATGTACAAGTAGTCGCCAGAGGCTCAGAGTTGCAACATGCGCCCGGGGGGGCTGGGACACTACAGGCTCACCATTTGCCCTAGGGCTGCACTTCAGGGCCCGTCAAGATGACAACGTAGACACGAGCAGCTAATACTTACGAGGTATTAACGACAGCGTCGAGACAGACTTACGTAGACTTGCTTGCTCTCAGTAGGTGGAGGCTGAATTTTCCAGTTTTTTGTCATCTAGGACCGTTTGCACCGGCGCCATCCCAAACGGCCAACTGTTGTTTGATTAGACTTACATCCCACCTATGAGTCGGTGAATTTTTTCTTATGTTCATGCCACATAAGTTTGTATATTCTTCAAAGCTTGCCTCTGGTGTCACGTGAGTCCCATATAATCGAGCGGGTAATAGAAACCAGGCCCTATTTTGTCGAAGATCAATTTTTACCCCTTCTCGTGACAGCTGATCGCATTTGCACAACTCCGACAATTCCTTTTCGCCAACCCATTTCTTAAATTCTGCTCATAATTGGTTGTCCCATTTCTCTCAGCATGCTCTTCTTATCGGCAAAGGAGCGCGCCTGTGTTTCTCTACAACAGCATTATAGTTCTCCTTTCTGGCCTCGTCGTTGTCATCATCGCACTCATCACCTGTCAGCTAACGAACAGTCATCTGGTCATGAGATTCAAAACTAAGATTATCCAAGCGTAACTACCATAGGCGGGTGGAGCACCGGAACGTTTCGCAAATAAGCCATCCATTGTTGCCGTCGCCGTCGGTCACACCAAGACCCCACGTCCGCCAATACGTATTACGGCCTTTTTCCTATAATCGATATTTTTCCATCTCTGAGGTCCATACATAGTTATCACTTTTCCCCTCCACGTCGTTTTCTAGTCACCTCGTCTTTCACCCGTAATTCCTCATCCATGACGCGCCGCCGAATTTGCTCATGTTGCCGCCAGCGATCAACTCTGACTGGTGATCGTAATATTGGCTGCCAATAAAGGAATCATGACGCGTTTGGCAATAAGATGCTGGTGTTTGGGTTTTAAACCGAATATGCTACTGACAGTACGTTTGTCTGCGAAGTGTGCGGTCTGAGGATGAGTCTCCTCCGCATTTCCTCCTACTTCTCGTAATTGGGTGTCTTATGTTACGAGAACACCTGTTACGACAGACGCTTTTTCGAGGAATCACTCTGGCCTTTGTCTCAATCTTTCGACCGCACTGGCCGGACGGAATGTGTTCTGGTGCTTGCCTGTATCGGCATTGGGCTCGCACTTCGGTCTAGTCTCCGCCTTGTCATGTCTTTCAATGTTTGCCGAGACCTTTAATCTGTTTTTTTGGGTAAAAAGTATCCGACACATGCGTCTCTGATATCGGTAAACTAATTTTTAGGAAGTCTCCACCAGGATTCCACTAAGAATCGGCATTTTCGCGGTGCACGTGTTCTCATCTCACCGCATGCACCTCACAATGAAAGATAAATTTTACAATTATTTTCATAACCGTTTAATCATGACATAAAACTACACAAGGAAGACCATCTAGTGCACTTTCATCCCAATGCGTAGGATGTCCCATAACATTTGTCTTCTAATTCAAATGTAAGGCAGCTATCTTAGCTATCCGCCTAACGGTGCGAGTCCTTCAACTGACCTTATCTTATTGCACTTTACCGTCTCCAAACACCACTAGACTATGTGTGTGAACTAATTGGCCTGGTGATAAAACAAAGACGTTTGTAGTTTCCGTCCACCTTGTTTGGCACAACCTTCACACAGTCGAATTCGTAATTTCCCGCCGACTTTAGTGCCAGGTAGACTCCTCGTTGTTGACAATGAGTCGCCAGTCTAACATCTACAGATCCTATCCCTGACCCGACGGGTAAAATTTAAGTTTAAGTTGCGCCGGCAGTTTCGGGTGGGCCGCCGTATACGCTGCGTCCCGTAGACCAACAGCGGCTGAAATCATCAGTGCCCTGCGTAAGATCTAAGTTTTCGACGATGCTCCGTTTCGGAATCAGAGGGGGGACCCCTATAGAGTTAATAAAAAAAGAAATGCAAGCTCACCGTCGTCAATCCTCGGAAGCCATGACTTCAAAAGTCGTCTGTTTAAGTGATCTTTAAATTGCTGCACGGAATGTACAGTAGGTTAGAGGCCTACGGGTGTGGGAAATTAATCATCCTTTATATAGTTCTAGCTGCCTGTTAGCAGTCCATAAGTGCAATTCGGTTGTTTCATCGAAGCGGGCGGTTTGCCGCTCGTAAATGTTTATATCGAATTTCTGCGCAGACTGGAGAAGGCGTTTACGCATTTATTTCCGAGGGAATCATCTGTTTATTTCGTGAAGTGTGGGGAGTACACATGCCGTCGTCGTCCAGGGTGGTTCTGCCACCGCATCTCATCATTCGACTGCATTTGGAGATGTTGCCCCCCCCCCCGCTGTTGACGGGACTGTTGTGATTGCTGCTATCTCCTGCGATTGCTCGAATTTTCTTATGACCTCGTTAAGTTGTCAAGGGTTTTTGGTGCTGGTAGAATTTGACGTCCAGACAACATCAAAAGAAGAAATAACGCTCGGTGGGATGTTTTTTGGGAACTGATGATTCTAATGGGCACATCGGCCAGCCCAGATTACGAAGCCGGCGAACGTATGCATAGCTGTGCCCATCGCGTTAGATACTGGCCGTACGAAAATTTGTAATCGCCACCCCGTTTCCAGCCAGATGAACTGCCATCTTTGCATGCCGGTGTTAGGAGTTCAGACTGCCCGCAATTTCAGACCCCACTTGTTCACTCTCAAAGATAGTGCAGTTCATGGGTTTACCCATAAACACTTTCCCATTTCGTGATGGACGTGCCAAAAAACCAGCATCTATCACTTAACGGATTTAGGACTTGCGCTGAGAGCCCACTTTAATAACTAGCCTGTTTGCAGCGTCAAAATCTCCCCTCGATTCCCGTTCGAATCTCAGATATCGTCACTGGACGCAATGTCTGGAAGTATAATGAAAAGTCATGAAGCTTCTGAATGCCGCCGTTCTTTGGCGCTGGACGGCAACTCTCACTGCTTTTCCTTTTTGCCTCATTGTTTTCAAGGGCATCAACTTCGCCCTCTCATCCTTTCCGGCCCCTTTATTGTCCACTCTTCTTTTCTAACCTTAACAAAAAAGGGACGGAGTCTCTAGTCCCACTTGTTGTGATATTAAAAACAAAATTAGCGGCAAGCGCGGTGAACCGACCTGCCTTGCATCGTCATCTAAACTACGCTCCCGCCTGTGTCGCATGCCTTGACTGCAAAAATGACTCGGGTAATTGGTGGCGAGGGGAAGGTGCGTTCTGTCCACTGCTGTGAATTAACGTTCGGTTGTGGAAAACTATAAGTAGACATACTGCTCATCAACGAGTTGTTTTTTTGCTTCCAATGGACTGTTGCATACGCATTTGTAGACCATGGTAAAAGGTCAATCCTGTGTGATAGGGCCACGCAATTGGCTTCCGGTAGGCAGGCCAAATGACGCACTTCAAATCGTGCTCCTATGGATGTTGGTTTCAACCACGCTAGGTAGGGTTCACTAATTCTGTATGCACCAGGTGACTGTCTACACCTTAATTATCGCACTAGAGGCGCGCAAGGATTTGTACAGTTTTGGGGTATGGGCCTGGTTTTTTCTGACACACACTATTGCTTATTCAGTCCAAACGTACGTTACGAGGTTCTTCTTGATAACTCCACCGCTTCCCTCTACAGACCACTTGAGCATTAAAAGGCCCGGGGACTGCCCTTTTGTGTATTCCTTTGAATAGTGTTGCGTTGGCTTAAAGAAATCGCCGGGTCACACTGGAAAATAATTCAGCAATCGTTGGCAAAGCATGAGTTTTGGTTCTAAAACTCCCTAATGTCTGGCTGGACGGTCAGGGTGTAATGATTTGTCGGGCTTTTGTTATT